TGTTACCTCCTCCAAGGTAATGCTTGTGAGCTTTTATAGGTTTCGAGTGGCCCAATCCTAATAAGACTTTTATTTCTCCATGCAGAGTCCTCCTAGGATTCATACTCCTAAAGGATAATGCTTATCCTTTTACACCCCCCCCACTGCTTAAACCAAGTGGGATGGTTTTTACTACGGCCGAACTACCATTTAACCGAAGTAAACTGGCTAAGCTGAGCCACGAGGTAGGCCGAATTATCCCTAGTTCGGCCCTTCCATTTACTCCTCATCTTGGTTCTCCCTTGCATGAACCATGATATGTTGGGACCGAGCTACCGAGTAGCAAGGTCTTGACCGACCTATCCAGAATACGTCATGACTGGACTAACTCGGAGACCGGACTAACTCAAGTTGTCCAAACCGAAGTAGCTTTACAATTCCTGAGTCGAAGTAACTTCATTTCTTTTGACCGAAGTAACTTTATTTCTCATGGGCAGGAGTAACTTCTCGGCCCATTTTATCCGGTCCTTCGTACTTTGGGGCCATAAAGTCCATTTCATAGCTCGGCCCAATTTTCACCAAAAATTACCCTCTCAATTGCCCCTTAATTCCATCTGCACAGGATGATTGAGATTACCTAATGACCAGCCGAGCTAACGTTTTTAAACCTTTCCAGCCGAACTAAAAAATCGTTTAGCCTCTCCAGCCGAGCTTATTTTACTCCAGCTCTACACGTTCGGTCAAAACGTCTCTTCAATCACTGACTGTAACGCTTCACTTTCCAATGACACGTGGCAGGTTCTGACAGGCTGTGGGCAGCTGTCACGCCGCCCTCGTGCTACCAAAATTTTGAACAGTCCCGCCCTTTTTGCCTCTCGTCCTTTTCACAAAATAACCATTTCATCTTTTGAATCATTTCACCTTCTCTGTTCATCTTCTTCTCTCTTCGTGCCTCTGTTTCCCCATTTCTCCAACCTCTGAGTTCTCCGAGCTCGCGTTTTTTGCTGGTGCTGCTGCCCCCCTTCTTCAGCTTCATCTTCTTCTGGTAAGCCTCAAAAAACCTGTTTTCGTTTTTTTCTTCTTTCTGTTTTCTATGTTTTTGTAAAACATGCTTGTTTATTCTCGTTTTTGCTTCTGTACTTTCATGAAAAAATCAGTAGAACTCATGCGTGTATGAATTATTCTGTAAAAAACTAGTCTTAGATCCAAAATCATGTAGCAACCGAACTAGGATACTGTTTATCCTATATAGGTAGATCTCTTTAGATAATAACCGAACTAGAACTCCCAGAAATCAGTAGTTTCAGTAGGTTATCAACTCCTGAATAACTCTGGCCGAGATACGCCCACCGAACGAAGTTTGATTTATTAACTAAGGAACCTCGGTTTTCAACCGAGCTAAGCCTTTGGGGCTAAGCCAGCTTTCTTAGTTTCTAAACCAAACTCAGAAAGCTGCCCCTAGAGGCTCAACCGAAATAACAAAACTCCAAATTCAACGGATTTAGGCCTTTGGGGCTGAGCCAGTTTTCTTAGTTTTTTAGACCGAACTCAAAAAGCTGCCCTTAGACTATGAACCGGTCTAACAAAATTGTTTCCAAAGCCAGTATGCCGAGATGCCGCCAAGATTTGGCTAATAAGAACCTTGCTCAAACCGAGCTACCAAGCATTTCGCTGAACCGAGATAGAACCCGCCCATAAAGCCGAAGTAGGACTTTTTAACCTCGCTTTTAATTTGTAGCACGGTCCAATGATCTGTGCTTAACCCGTGTTTTCTACTTTGCAGACTTAGGTTGCCCAGGCACTCCTGCCTGCGCTCAACCGAGCTACTGAGCACAATATTTGCACCGAAATAACTTATTCTTAAATTATACGATAGATGGGGAAGTATAGATACTTAGTATATACTCCGGGCGGCCTAGCCGAATTCAGGAAAGACTACCAAATACCTGACGACGTCCATCTGGTCCTGGCCGAAAAAGACGTCATTCCCTAGGACAATGAAGGCTTCGTCCCCTTCACCCTTTAATCCATCATAGAAACCGAACTACGGTTTCCAGTCCAGCCATTGATTTGCGAATTCCTTAGGCAAACCAGGCTATGCCCAACCCAACTATCTACTAACTCCTACCGCATCATTATGGGGATTGCCGAACCGAACCGCCAAGCCGGACTAAACCTTGGCCTGGCTGAAATTTTCCATCAATATTCCATTGGCTCAAAAGAGGATGGGTGGGTTTATTACCTTAGAATACGTCGCCGCCGAGAGAAGATAATTAAATATACACCGGACAAAGACGTAAATGACGATGATTTTTTCTGGGTCTCTGGGAACTTTGAGGATTTTCAAGCCCAAATTCCTGGCCGACCTATAAATTGAAAAAAAGGAGAGCCCAGTAATTTAACTTCGGTCTTCTTCCTTGCATTTTTTTATTTCGATTTGTTAGTGTGTCAACCGAACTAACAGTTCTTCTTTCGCAGATTCTGCCCACCTTTATTCCTTATACGGTTATCCAAACCTTGCAACTTTACGAGCCGCACTACGATATCCAGGACGTAGCTGGGCCAAATTGCTGCAATTCGAGCCGACCTACCGATACAGCGGTCGTCGAAAAGCCAGAGTAACTGACTTTCTTCTTGAAGACGCCCCAGAACCGGACCCCTCCTTGCCCGAGATCAGACTGATCCCACTGACAGCCGAAGAAGAGATGGCGAAAAAGAACAGAGTCAGGGCTCTTTTAACCGAGACAGCCAGGCCCGAAGTAACGCCACCCAGCCAATCGCAACCTGCTGTTGTGGTCCTCCCTTCTCAACAGCCGTCCTCTTCTCGCCGAACCAAGTGCGCCCGGACTGCTGAAACCGAACAAATTTTGGTTGATGAAGCAAAACCTGCACTTCCACCGAGCTTGCCACCGAGCCCCCAACCGGAACCTTCTGACCGAACTACCGGCAGCTGGGCCCCAAAACTTACTTTCAACGACCGAGACATCCGAGATACAGACTCGGTTGTTGCTGAGAAAGACCACCTGTTGGCCATCAATCTGGCCAAGAGTGTGTGTCTGCCCAAAGACATGGAGCACCACCACAAACAGTTAAACACCGAACTGAAGGCCATCCGGTCTATGACTAAATCCATGATTCTGGTAAGTAACTTCGATTTTCTCTGTCTACTTTCTTTTCTCAACTTTTACTTCGGCTAAAAGGAGATCTTTGCTTTGTCAGGCCATTCAGAAAAATCAAATCACTCATAGGAAAGTGCTGGAGCTTAGAAAAATAACAAGGCAAGCCGTGGCAGAAGCTGAAGCAAAAGCAACCGAGCTAGAGGAGGCCAGAAAACAAATGGCCGAGCTACGAGGTGAGATCGGCAGACTGACCGGACTTGTTAGTTCGGCCGAAGCCGAAAAGCAGAAGGCTGCCATTGTTCTGAAAGACAAGTACCTGCGCGAGCTGGTACAGCTTGAAAAGAAGAAGGACGCCGAAATATCCCAGGCGAAGGAGAGCGCAAAAGAGGCCGAAAAGAAAGGCTTCAAGAAGGCAGAAGATGTATATGTCAAGCAATGTGAGGCCCCCAAGGAGCTGTTCTTTAAGTGCGGCTGGAGAGGAGCCGTTGAGAAGCTCGGTCATGATCCTCAGACCGAGGTTTTCAACCCTCCAGCCTACTTCATACCGAACTCCCTTGCGGAGTATGCAAATGCCATGCAACAGCAGTTTCTTGAGGGCTCAGATTCAGATGAAGACTCTGCTTCTGACGATACTCCGGTTGTTGATGTGGATTAGACAGTTCGGTCGGAACCCATGGTGGAAGACCTGACTATTGATCAACCAGGTGAAGCCGTGGTTCCTACCGAAACCACCCTTGTTACCGACACGGAGCTCCCGCCTGAAACCGGTCTTCATGCTGATGCTGATGCTGTCTTTGATGCCGAAATTGAAGATCTTTTTTCTTGATTTTGCACTTTTTCCTTTTGTTACTTTTTGTCTTTGTAACCGAGCTATGTCCCTCCTTTGTAATTGCCTTTTGATGAAATGAAAATTTGCTTGAACTCTTACTCCGGTTTTGATGTGTGCTTGCACTTGTGATGTCTTCTATTGTTCCAACTGCCATTCCGGTTTTAATGGTTAAACTAACTATGCTTATCAGCCAACCACTCCTTAGCCGATATAGGTACTTCGGTTGAGGAGTATTCAAAGTTGGTTTACTCCAGCTGACCACTCCTTAGCCGACATAATTACTTCGGCTAAGGAGTACAATGAGTTTGTTTGTAGCCAACCATTCTTCAGCCATACCCATACTACGGCTGAAGAGTACCAAGGGTTGGTTTATTCCAGCCAACCACTCTTCAGCCATACTCATACTTC